CCTTGTTTTGTTTGTCATTATTTTGTCGTCATGGTAAAAGTCAGATATTCTGTGCAGTACGTAACCTGTTATTTGCTGCACTACAACGTGCTGCCACCACTCCAGTCCTCTCCTTGGCACACCGTCATTCGCTTGGATCCCTTTTCAGATGTTAATAGCTGAAACTGACCTGTAGTAAACCCTTTACATTTACCTTACTCGCTCCATCCCTCCCCGTCTCTCTCTGGAGGCCCGTGGGCCCCACACCAGGGGCTTCCCCATTGGTTGCCTAGAATCGCCTCATCCCACAACATGGCCACTCACATTCTGCCTCAGTCACTGGAGCGTTTTTCCCGGTCAAAAAGAAAGAGGGGTGTGTCTGTCGGACAGTAGACTGGAATACACCAGTACACAGGATCCCTGTGTGACTCAACATGTGCAGATTTTCAATGAGTAACTACCTCACAATATCTTTAAAAGTCACACTGCACAGAAGAGCTTGTGGATTTGTCTTGAAGAGGTAAATGGATGCTTTTATGTTTTTAACTTAGTCAAATTTAAATTAAAAAGTTGTAATGTTTATTTCTTTAGAATGTATCTTACATTGCTAGAGGTAAAAATATATCCAGATCTGATGGTAATTCAGTAAACAAATCATGTTTTACAAGTAGCTGAGGTACCATGTGCTGCTTGCAGGTGTGAGATTGTGCAAATGTTACTGTTTGTGTGATAGCATGTGCCACCACAACTGCAGCTTTAAGGTATGTGTTTGTAGTGAAACTGTGATCTGGGCAGAGATTCAACACAGCTGAGCTATGAGTGTTCTCCCCTTCAAATAAGAATTAGGCACACTGATCACATTTTGGCAAGCATCACATTAACCCTAGCATCTGTTGCAGAGGCCTGAGCGTACAGAGTTGTTGGACTCCAAAAATGGTCCACTGAAGTGCAAAAATACAGAGGATCCTTTTTCCCTTTTGTGCTTCCCCTCTCCACAAGCAGTTCATTAGCACACCCTGGTGGCTGGACTACAGACCCTGATGGCACATGTGAACCATCAGTAAAACTGCCCCCCCCTCCCTAACAAAGCAGCAAAAAACCACTGCCCCAAAAGAAGAGCAATCTCCACAACAACCTTTGGATCAACCATTTACCAAATGTCCAGTGAGAGTGGAAACGCCGGCCAGAGCTGTGGTGCATTGTAGTTGCATTGCATGTTAACGCTCACAAAGTGCAATGGATCTGCTTTGCAACACAGAACTTGGTCAAATAACAACTCACTGCTTCAGCAATTGTTCTTATACAGAAACTCACTTGCATCAAAATTGTACTTACTGTTGTACTTTCAGGGAATACACAAACTTTCCTGTCTTCTTACTACTTTTGATTACTACATTTATTTCTTTATCATATAGAATTAGGTATAAAAATAATTTCAATATAATGTTAGGGGAATATGTATGTATGTATATGTATTGTATAGTTGAATGTGGACATATGACAGGACATGAGAGGAAAGGGAGATGGGGAATCACATCCAACATGATGATGTAACTCGTAGGCCACCAGGGTACACCTATTATTTCTATATTTTATAGAGATATCTGTTTAAATTCCTCTCGGAACGTCTTCCTTTGATTTGAAAATGTATTATGTTTTACCTATTGTGTGGCATGTTTTTTCTGTGTTTGACTGTTTAGCCATTTCTGCAATCCGGTACCATTTTTGAGTGGTGGAAAGTAACTGAGTATAGTTTTGAGGTACTTGTACTTGAGTGTTTCGTTTTCCTGCTCCTTTATACTTCTATTTCACTACAGTTCTGATGGAAATATTGTACTTTTTACTCTACCACATTTATTTGAAAACTTTAGTTACATTGCAGACTCATGTTAACAATAAAATATAATTAGAATGTATTATTATCCATCCATCCATCCATCCATCCATCGTCAAACGCTTATCCTGCGTACAGGGTCGCGGGGGGCTGGAGCCAATCCCAGCTGACATCGGGCGAAAGGCGGGGTACACCCTGGACAGGTCGCCAATCCATCGCAGGGCTATTATTATTGTTGTTGTTATTGTTATTATATTGATTTTTATTGTTTAGTAATTTCTGGGGGTAAACTCACAACATACCCAGCAGTGTATAATATTTTTAAAGTCCCATCTTTGCAAACATTAAAGTGATGCTTACACATTAGTGCATCAACAATTATAACCCAGAAATATAATATACATGATTTCGAAATGGACCTTTCTGCATGATGAGTACTTTTACTTTTGGTACTTGGAGTTAAAGTTTGATGGTAATACATTTGTACTTTTGCTTAATACATAAAACTTTGAATGTTTGACTTTCACTTCTAACAGACCTACTTTATTTCTACTCTGTGGTATTGCTGCTTTTAGAAAATCTGCCATTTTTAAGCTTAAAACCTTTTATTTGGAGTTTGTCAGAGATTAGTTAATTCAATATCACAATACTTGCGACTGCTGTATCAGATTACATTATACAAATTGCAGGTGTTTCTGTTTTTTGTCCAGTTTATGACTTGAGAGTTCTTAGTGGTTTTCGGCTGCAGCTGATATCAAACAGTGGGTCAAACTGGGACCCTCCAGTGTAATAAATACTGAACACCTTTCCTGAAAATTTACCACTAGTGAAGTGTTTATCAAATGAGAACTGACAAATTTATACAGACATCTGGCAGATTTCTGAGTTATATTTTCATTTGAATGTCAGGCCCCTCTCCTTTATTAAATTGCCTATTTTCCATTTTCTTTCTGGAGAAACCCTTCTGGTCACCTCCAGTCAACCACTTCTATCGTATTCCTAGCAGGGACGTCCTTCCAACAGTCCAGATGTAAACACGTCTCCCAACTGCCATTGATTGACATGCTGTGTTGATTTTCTCATTACTGACCCGCACACACTTGAAGCCGTTTAAAAATCATATCGTATTCCAGCCTTAAAGTGCGTTTACCTGCGGCAGCTCAGACAAAGGGCAGGGATGTGTGTATGTCAAGGTCCTCAGGCTATTTCACTGATCTTCATTATCTTTCCAGTGTAGATTATTCGTACTCCTCCAAAACACAGCTCAAGGAAACAGTTAAGCGCAGAGAAATTGCACCAAAGATAGGCTATATGCTCTCATGAAGAGAAAACAAGACACTCGTATTTTTCTTCATCCCCATAATCCTCCCCAAAGCCTCACTGAAATCCATTCGCTAAACAAGCACTCAAGATAAATGACCTATTTGTGTTTATGATTTAGGCCTACTTTATATTAACGTCGAAGATCAATGGTTTCCCAATCTCCACCTGCAATTCTGCTGTTTCTTGCCCCTGAGCTGCTCATTTTACCTGGAAGCATTCACATAATGAAGTCCCAAACGAAACACATTTCCCCCGCTCCTACAAATGAGAACTATTATTGTGTAGGCCTAATTATAAACAACTGGCTCGAGATGTTACAAGGATTAAATAGGAAACAAAGAGGATCATTTTGGTTATTTAATAGAGGCCGTTCATTTGTACTGTGCCAGTAGCGACACTTTCATACATTCACTGGCAACGCAATATGTGCATTGACTTTTCGGGCCTGACTGGTGCCTTGCTTTCTCTTTAGCTGCCTCAGAAGACCCGTAGCCTCGGAGCACTTTATGCTAAGTTAATTTACCCAAATATATCCGCGGCATCACGGCGGCAGCAGCAGCAGCCCTGCTATTCAACATCAACAACTTTGTTAATGGAAACTTGCTGATCCATAAACGTTTGTGCCGCCGCAGACTTTTGCTGGGGGGCAGTTCACATATGAATGTTAAAAACCCCTCAGATCGATGAGGGGCATTTGCAAAGGAGGCATAAGGTGTGTTTAATTATAATTTGCGTCGTGGTGTGTGTGTGTGTGTGTGTGTGTGTGTGTGTGCGCGCGCGCGCCAGCTTGTTGGGGGAGGTTTTGCTGTTAAGACTCAGGCAGGGGCCCCTGTATTTAAATAGGGTCACATCTCGGCCTCACCTTGCAAGTGTTACGCTATATTAAATGCCACTCATGTTAAGTGCGTTGAAACCCTCCTCTGATGTAGTCAAGACATAATATAAAGGTTAAATTGAAAAATGTCCCTTCAACGGTACAGGAACACGCCATGATTGATCTCCCTTGTACAGGCAAGAAATGTTAGCCAGACCTCTGTTTTGTTAGGCCTCTTTTAAGTGTGTGAATATGATATATTATAATAAGGAGTGACTGGATTAGAATTTAAGTGTCAGTCAATCAGGATTTCAAAAGGTCAATGAAAGAATTTGCAAAATGTGTTGCAGAATGTCTGAAACAACTGAGCTCAGAGTAGGCCTTTTTAATATAGCTGACATGTCATAGTAGCAAAAGTACAGGTGTTAGGCTACTAACAACATTAACAACAGCTGTTCAAATGGCCAAAATTGAACATACTCAAACTAGGCAGTATGCAAGATCTTGATCTTACAGTGCTCAAAGGAAAAGGCCTGGAAAATTCTACTTTAATTAGCATTTTGAAAATTTACCAACTGAAAAATAGGAGGTCAAGCAAAAGCAAGGCCCATTTTTTTTTTCTGTTGATATTTGTAAAATTAAATTTTCCGAGATGTGTTTTCCTTCTTGCTTTACTTGGATGTTTGAGCCTCACTGTGCGGAGTCTGACACTGCAAAGTTGTCTTCAGCTATTGTATTCATCTGCTGGAGGAAGAAAGTTTGTAATGCTGCACTCTAAATACATACTAAAATATGACCAAATCTGCCATTGTGAAGAAGAAGAACCTGCATGAATGACACGTAACAAGGAAAAAGATTCTGAATAAATCCTCCTTTTATGAAGAAGACCATCTCAATTTATCATCTGAAGATAATCCAATAAATCCAAGAAGTGAAGTTTGTTTTTACCTAATCTGAGCAAAATTTTAAAATATTTTCAAACACACACTTGTGTATATACATATAGAGAATACTGTAAACCTAATCTATGTCAGCACTGGACACTGCACATACGGTATAATGACAATATGAATGCTTTACTGGATTGTTCTGGATTGTTCACATTTTATCTTTCAGATGAATTCTTAGACAACATGATGCTTTCTTTAAGTTTCCATCTAGAATGCATCACACAATACTGTACCTCTTTACTTTGTTCATCATTTACATTTTCAAGTCAGTAAAATTCCGCTTGTGGAGTTTTTCTTCTGTCTTCTTACAGTAGTTCCCAGTTTTGGACACAGATGATAATGAAGGAATAAGTTCACTTTCTGCTTTCCTCTCCTCTTACAGAGTCCAGAAGTGCAGGTTCAGATGTTGGGGCTCCAGAACATGTATGGGCGGCCCTGTGGGACCTATGTGAACAGGGCCGTGGGAGGATCTGGACCCAAGCAGGGGCGGATCTGGAGTGGACAGGATGTAGTCAATGCTAAACTTGATCTCTGACTCTGGTTTCCCCTGCTGGGTGGGGTTTGGGATGCGGTGGTTTTGCTGGGGGCCCGGCCTCGGCCTCTCTGGGCTTATAGAGCAGAGGGTGGAGTCAGGTTCATGGCGCCGAGCTGCAGGTGCGTGCTGATTTCTGTGGCTCTCCAAGTGGTGGAAAGGGGTTTCTCCCGAATCACGGAAGCCGATTTTCATGTTCCTCCTGCGCCGGCGACGCCGGAAGTTGCCGTTTTCAAACAGGTCGAGCATGGATTCACAGCCGGTGGCAAAAGTCCAATAGTTTCCCTTTCCCTTCTCATTTCCCTCTGTCCGTGGAACCTGTGGGGAATATGAAAATACTTGATAATGATTAACCCATAATAAAATTAAGAAATACATTATTACTACTGGGAAAAGGAAAAAAAACACTAAACTACTACTATTTCTCCTTCTCTTGTATAAGGATAAAAAGAGAAATAATTAATAAACAAAAATAAAAAGACTAAAATTGTGTAAAATTGGTAAGTAAAATTCACTTTAACAGGCACAAAACCCCTAAAACATCTTGTTAAATTGGCATTTCCCAGTGGGTTTTTGCATACCTTGATGAAGCAGCTGTTGAGAGACAGGTTGTGTCGGATGGAGTTCTGCCAGGCTCTCTGGTTGGAGCGGTAGTAAGGAAATCTCTTCATGATGAACTCGTAGATGCCCGACAGAGTGACCCGCTGCTCGGGGCTCTGCTGGATGGCCATGGCTATCAGAGCTATGTAGCTGACAGACAGACACACACTTTTGTTGAAAAAAAGATATCACATTATAAAGTCTCGTAAGCCTTGTGTTAACTATTCTATCTACTGTACCTGCAGACCACACTGTTTTGTGTGTCAAAGTAGTAATTATTTACCTCTTTTCTTCTGACATTATTAAAATTCAATTTACAGAAAAGTAATGGTAACCCCTTCCTTTGCAACAAACTGAACTTAATTTAATTTGCATTGTTATTACTGCAAATAAAAAAATATAAAACATTTTATCTGCTGTATTGGGTATGCAGAAATAAATATATTTCTTTTGTTTGCTAAAAAACAAACAAAGAAATGTACATAACTATAAGCAAGTCTGAAAATAATCAGAAATTTTAAGTTTTTTAAATACAAAAATCAACTTAATGTAAAAGAGATATTGATCTACAGCGCACCACTGAGCTGCCTAAATATAACAGTCAACTACTGTACACTGTATATCTCATTTGTATATCATACAAATCAATGTATGCCTCTTAAAGCGAAGTCATTTTTGATTAGTTAGTAAAAGCTATTATAGATTTTGTGTACAATGGTAAAACTGAACTAGGTAAAAATTATTTTGGTTTTGTACAAACTGAAAAACTCAAGTCATACGGAAAACAAAGTCAATTTTACCCTTTTGAAAGGAAAAATAAAAATAAGGAAATAATCATTTTTTAAATCCTACTAAATCGATATGACATGCTGGTAGCTTTGTCAAAGTTACATAAAAAAGATGAATAGAAAATCGTCCATACCTGTACGCGGGTCTACACATTTTCTTCTCTTCGTCCGTGCTAGAGGAAGGGTATCCGTCTCCATCGTAGTTAAAACAGTTGAAGGGGTAGTGAGAGTTATCAAACATATCTAAACCTTGAGGAGTCGGACGTACGATCCAAAGTGTTCGGCTCCTCTGACTTTCCTGGCCAAAGTCCAGCAGCAACACCCTGTCCTGCTGCTCTGCTCTGCCACCATGCTCTGCTCGGGCCAGCTGACACTCACTCTGAGCTCTGCTGATGACGGCTGCCTCCGGCCCCCCCCCCTCCTCCCTCCCCTCTGTCTCCCCTTTCTGGTCCCAGCTGGTCTCCAGGAACGGCTGCAGGTCCTAAGACTCAGTACCACCTCTCTGAGCTCTTTCAACTCTTCTGTTCTGGTCAGTGCAGTGCAGATTTCATATTTATTCTGTTCTCTGTTTATCTATCTATTCACACTTATATATGAGGGATATTCAAGACAGGGCCAATTTAAAAGTTGAAGATGGCCTACTGCATCTCATTTTTCAAATGACCTTTTCATTGCACACAATACTATACTAAAACAAAGTCTCACTTTAAATATATTGCCTATAGGATATTTATTTATCGTAGATGCTCTAACAGGTTAGTTTCTTTTAATGCTCCATTTTGTTTTGTTTTAGGCTATGTTTGTGTGATTTAAATGTAATTCTGTAAAGTTACAACCACACCTACAGCTGTTAAATTTGGTGGAACAGAAGGATGTTTTCCCTCTGAAGTACAGAGTAAAAATGCAAAGTCTAGCAAACAGGAAATGCTTGAGTGCAGAGCCAGCGGGCTTCAGTTCTCAAAAATTGCCCGTAGCTATGTATTATATCCGTCCCTTTTATATTTATTTCTGTAAGTACACAACAACCCTGGGCTGTGGGGTCTGTTCGCCTTAGTTGAGCAATGAATAGAGGCTATCTTTTGTCAGTTCCCAAATCCTGGTCTAAATCAGACAACCATATTCCACCAATTTAGTGTTACACTTCTGTAATGTTGTTGCACTGACGATGGACAGTGAAAATCGATGCAGCAGAAGCAGAGATGTTGTGTTTTTGATACCGTGCATTCTGTTTCCTTGTCAAAACCTGGCACCTACATTACCTGCAATGCAACTTGACCGCTGACATTTCAGTCTAAGATTGGGGTGTGTTAAGCTGGTTACTGCTAACGTTGCTTCAAGCCGCAAGCCTCAAGTAGAGATAAGTAGCGGGCTACAGAGGCCTGGTAAGCTCACGTCTTTCTAACTCCACATCAGCAGATTTTGTCATTTTCAAACTTGTAGTCTTCAGCCCCACCCAACACTGACTCAAGTGACATCACTTAAGCAATTTATGAGACATCACACAGCTCCCTCTGAAGCCACAAAAGGCTTTATACAACTTTCTTCACACACTGTGTGGAGTAGTACTCCCCAACACCTGTATACAGACTTTGATAGGCAATGTCAGTGTAGTGGTCTTTAACGTGCGCTCGACTAAGCTGGTCCAGTCCAGGCTGTCTCACAGTCACCTGAACCTGGGGCGGGTGCGCTGGACAAACGGCTCCTCTCCCCCACCTCCAGCAGGATTCTGGGTGGTCCGCTGAACTCGTAGGCAGCCTTCATGTTTTATTTTGCTTCTTTTTATAGCCTAATCTCTCTAACTGTACTTGAAACAGCCAACCCCAAACCAACAAACAACATCCTTTTCATCTTTGTTTTCTTTTTTTCTCCGTTGACTCTTTGGGGTGTGTGTGTGTCCACTCTGGCAGACATTTAGTCAACAACGGGAAGTTTTGTAGATGCTATCTATAATGCTCTATAATGGCCATAAATTGTTTCCGTGTCTATAAAACAGGGGGATGTGTATTCTGAAGGCTCTTAACGGGGCAATTGGAGGTCTCCCGTGAGGCGACAGAGGCCAGGAAAACAGCCTGAGGTCTGCCAGGCCTCTGTGTGTGGGCCTGCTCGTGCAAGAGAGGGCTATAGGCGCTACAGCGGTCGACCCGGAGACATTAAAGCAATTCTCTCTGTGTTTCTGATAGGTTAATGAAGCAGCTGAAAGGTCAACGCTGTTCTCAATTTTAGGGGTAGGCCCAGATTTTTCAAGTGGCTTCACAAAAAGCTTTAGTGAATCTTAAAACATGAAAAGGAATCTCAATTGATATCACTGCTCTCTGTGTCTGTCTTGCATCTGTCCACATGATATTCTTCTTCTTCTCTTACGCATGGATGGGGTTTTGACTTATAGGTAAGGGACGGTAGTTGTAACCATGCAGGGCCATAGTGACCATTGAGGACACTTTCTCTCTGTATAGAAGAAGAAGAAGATACTTTATTGTCACATACATGTAGCGAAATTCATTCTCTGCATTTAACCCATCCGTCAAGGGAGCAGTGGGCAGCCGCTGGGCAGCCGCTGGGCAGCCGCTGTGCAGCGCCCAGGGAATAACTCCAGATCTTTATCAGTGCCTGGTCAGTTGCACTGACTAAGTTGTTCTACTTCTAAACCTATGAATAAACATGCCTAAATATATTTAGACCTTTCCTGTCGGGACATTACAGACAATATCATAATATAATAATGATATAATAATGTTAAATTGGAATTCCACCTGTTTTACACATGAAGGTCAGTCTTGAGAAGTTGGCCACTAAATAACCCCAAGTGTAGGATCCAGTGTTTTTGAAGTTTGAACCATACGGGACTAAAAGTCTAAATATCGTCACTTTTGACCGCTTTAACAGTTAATGAAATATTTTTTTAAGTCTAAATCATCATGTGCTTTTGTCTCTTTTTTAAAATACATTTTTTAACAGTCCACATAATGTTGTTGTCTGGTCAAAAAGGATTTCCAAATAAAGATTTCCAAATAAAATCAAGAACTGAAGAAAGTCCATCCCAGATTTGCAAAATCAGTAGCTGCTTGTCATTTTGTGTTCTGTTTTGATGAGCTGTTTTCTGAAATGCTTGTCAGTTTTTTTCTTTTTAAATACACATGCGTTTGGTATCAGCTCAGCTACACTAACATGTCTCAACTGAAAGCATGTTTCAGTTGAGTACATATTTGTATGAGTAGTGGATAAAACACATGCCTTTGGTGTGGGAGACCTGGGTTCGATTACCACTACGACACATCCACCAATGTGTCCCTGTGCAAGACACTTAACCCCTAGTTGCTCCAGAGGTGTGCGACTTCTGACACAGTGTATATAGCAATTGTAAGTCATTTTGGATAAAAGCGTCAGCTGAATAAGTAAATGTAATGAACTCCATTTTAAACAAACACCTTATGTTTAAATAATTCAGTGTTCTCTTTGCTCAACCAGTGCTATTATGTAGTCCTCAGTACTACCAGTAGTGAAAGTACATTTCTTCAGGTACTTAGTACTAATTTGAGGAACTTTTACTTTACTCCACTACAGTTTAGAGGGAAATACAGATGACCACATACAGACTGCTTATGAATTAATGGATCATCAATAAAAATCTAATATATCTTTACTTTTGCTAATAATAATTAAGCACTTTTACATAAGTGGCATTTTCAATGCAGGACTTTAACTTTAAATGGAGTATTTGCACAATTCCTGCTTTTAGTTAGGTTAATGGTTGGGAATACTTGCACCACCACCACTGAGTACTACACTACTGGGTTAACCTATTCCCTTTTCTTTCTTTTTTGCTTTATGTACTTTACCACAAAGCAACATAACTGACTTCATTAGACAAATAGCTACCAACATGGGCTCCTTCCACTGTCAGAGGTTGCCTGGGTCTGTTCACTCCAGACAAGAAAAACAGATTGATTCATACAAAGCTGTAAGTAGGACCAACAGAGAGAAACAGTGTAGAGGAGAAGAGGAGGTCACTGTATCAGGTTGGTTTGAACTGAGATCAGATAAGCACCTCATTGTTCACTCCCATGACGAGGCTTCCTCTGGCGTCCTGTCTGCGGGCGGCCGCAGCGATTACAGCCCTTAGTTCTCCTCTGGTCACTCTCTGTCCCTCTGATGGTTGTCTAAGACTCCGCTTCCTCCATTCATGGCTCTGTCTGCCTGTGTGTGTGTGTGTGTGTGTGTGTGTGTGTGTGTGTGTGTGTGTGTGTGTGTACATGCATTTATGTAAACCAACCAAGTAGCTTTTCCGGGGGCTGTTCTGTGAGGAAAGGTTATTAAAACACAACAGTGCACTGGGAACTGTAAACATGCCTATGCACAGAGCTGGGGCTGAGGGCCATTTTCCTTTGCACTGTACTGTGCAGCCATCCTCACTGCCACCATTCACTGTCAAATTACACTAGGTTACAGAGTGCTACAGATAAGACCTCCAGAACAGGCCTGTGTTCCCCTGGGTATTCATTTTGTACCAACACCAACAATTCTGACTCATGCAGGTCTATTTTGTGGATCTTGATTGGAGTTAAAAGCTGCAGTTGTGCCGCATTTCTCACAAAAGAGGAACTTATGTATAAAAAATTTAAGGGCGTAAGGGCGGAAAAAGTTGGTCAAGCCCACAAGTGTCTAATTTTTGCATCCAATCAAGTTTGTCTGTGGACACATTATAGTTACTAATCTCAATATCATCTTGTTTTCTTTGGCAAGCTATGACTTGACTGACAAAACATTTGATTTAACAATTTTTATTTTTAATATTTAACATTGGACATATTTTTAAAAGGAATCGTCAGGAAACGCTCTAATTTGCTTTCTGTCCAAAAGTATCAGGGAGCTTTTCAGCTGATGGCAGGCACACAGATCCAGGCGAGTTGTTTCCCCCTGTTTCTACTACTTAACGCACACAGGACATGAGGTCATCTCATCTCACTCTAATAAAAAAGCAAACAAGCGAATGTCACTACTACACATAACTGTAAAATGCATCATCTATATTAAGTTTTGTTTCACATGTATTGTGTTTGTACAAAAAACACTTTTTCAGGTTTCATTCAATATCTATTGCGTGTTCTGTTTTTGTTTTAGCTGCTTTACTTACAGTCAGCCTTTTATCTATCAGTGATTTATTTGTATTCAATTATTTTTATCTTTTGTATCCACTGTTGTTGTGGCGAAATGTCTTCTATATGTTGTTGTCTGTGACTTGTATGACTTGTGACTCTTGAGTCACTGTTCACGTGGCTAGTTTACATATAGATATATAGTTATCTATCTTGTTTATAATGTTGTTTTCTTATCATTACTATTTTTTTTATCATAATGTTCTATGTTGCTTTAGTCCCGAAGGTGTTTACTGCATTACAGAACCATTTGTGTTAATGAAAGCTTGAAATAGCATTAGCAAGGACGAAAATAGAGGTTGAATTGTTGAATGAAATGCAGAATGAGGGAAGAAGCTGTTTGATTTTATTCTACTGTTTTAATTATTCCTGGTCACAAGTTTAGGTCAAGTAATTACTTACTGTCAGAGATGGGCAAAGAGAAGTGTATTTTCAAAATAAGATACCAAATACTCACATTTTAATTGTATCACATTAAACTTCATAATACAGCAGCCACACCATGTATCAAAATAAACTACTGTTTTTTTGTGTTTCAAAAATGCTAAAAAATACTTTTCCAAGGTACCATGAAATCCTTTTTATCCAACCTTTTATCAGCCTATTTGATCAATCCCTTCACCAGTACATTGACTCAGCTGATTAAGCGGGCAATGTTTGAAAGCAACAGATTTTCCATGTCAAAGTCAGTTTACCAGGTTTGGGAATGAAAACAGTGAAGGGAACTTTTCCAAGTCTTGTAGTTGCAGTGATGGAAATATATTTAGGTTTTAGTGCTACACAGCCACAAACTTTACAGGAATTAATTTTTCCTGGAAAAGAAATCTATACATTTTTGTGTGTAATATTTCTTATTCTGTCCAAAGGGATGTCTAAGTGCAGATTCCACCTTAAATGACAACCACTATTTTCTCCAAATGCTTCTGCTGGCTGGATGATTCTTGTGTTTTCATGTTCACGAAGAGGAGATTCATGTTTTATAACCATGAATGATCACCCAGGCTTTACTAACTACATTACGTTTGTTATCTTCCGTGATGATTAAATATGAATCATCTCTGAAATAATATTAAAACATACAAATTAAACAAATGCACAAGCGGTTCTTTCTGAGGAAAACACTGACTCACAATAATTTCTGCTTATTTTGTTTTATTGCACTTTTACCATGATGCAAAGAAAAAAAAAATAAAA